GGCGGCGTCTCTGCCGAGCCGTTGAACATCGCGTGCGAATGCCCTCGGCCGCCGTGTTTCTCGCAGCGATAACCGGCGCCGGTCAACAAGGCCAGCCTGTGACCGCAACCGCCGATCACGTAAGACTTGTCGAACGAACCGAGAGAGATCTCCGCCGCGTCGGACTTGGAGACGTTCTCCGTGGAGATGTAACTAATCGAGTTGACCGGCACGCTGGTTCTCCGACTTTGGAACAGTTCGTGATGAGAGTGAGCCATTCCGTTGTTCTTCACGGACGACCTCCTCTTAAGCGACTGATGAGAGACGTTCGCCGAACCTGTGTGAAGAAAGAGATGACCCGGCGAGTTCGACCTGGTTTACGGATGCAACTCACCGGAATGCCGATGTTTGTGCACGAACTGCAACGGGGGCGGCAAGATCGCCTGTTCGAGGTAGTTCTGTTCGTGGAGCTCGCCGAAGGAGACGTTCTTCGCCGGAGGAGGTGTCGGAAGTCTGGACCTGCGATCGTCTTTGCATCTGATCGGTTTGCCGTGCCGGGGAATCTCGGTTTCCTCGAGAACGACTGCGTCGCCCTCTTCCACGATTTCCGGCACGAACTCGACGTTCGTTTTACCGTCGGGTCGCGAGTCCGGACTTCTCTCGATCAGAGGTTCGCTCTCCTTACCGGACCCTCCAGAACGGCTCCTTCTGCGGCCCGATTCGTCGGCGTGTTTGAGAACAGGCGCAGGTGTCGGGACCTCCTCTTTTCCTCCTTCCGTCCGTGGAACCAGCGGGACCCGTTCGCTGTCGATGGCGATCGCCGGCACTTTCGAGAAGGACGTCTTTTTTCTGAGAAACAAGAACGATTGCAATCGCTGCGATATCGAACTCGATGAAGGTACGTACTTGGCGACGTGCGAGTCGGCCGTGCTCGTGGCCGTGGCCGTGGTCACGGTCGTGGTCGCGGTCGTGGTCGTGTTCGCGTAGTCGCCTTCCGGTTGGGAGATGGTGGTGGAGTTGAGACTGCACATCGACATTGAGATATCCGTTGTCTCGGTGGTGACCGATAGACCTGCGGCAATAAAAACGTGGAGAACCGTCGCATGACACGTTGGATACACGTTGGATTACCTTCTTTCTTGATCGTCGTGCCCTCTTGCCGCGGGACCGTCAGCCTGTCCATTGCCTCTTGCGTGTTCGTCGCCGCTTGATCGTCCAGCCTTCTTAGAAATGCCTGTAGAAAAATCAATGTAGACTCTTTCGTATCGCTTGAGCAGCGAGGTTTACCTGAAGTTCCGAATCCTTCTCCAAAAGTTGCGTACGAAATTTTTGATTCGCCAGCGTAGCCTCTTTCAGACGCTCTTCCAACTCGCTGATGCTCGAGTCCCGCCTCGTCTTCGACATCGGTCGCAGAGTGGCTCTGATACGTTTGTCTATCGCGCCTTGAGGATTCCTTCGTAGTTCTATGAGCTGACGTGGAAAACACTCTTAGCTTGCGCGTACGGAGGTACAGGACATAGAATCTGCGTTTTGCGCTACCTTCGGTACGAAAACCAGGCAGAGGGTAGCCGTGCTGCAGAATATTATGAACACCGCCAACATAATGAACATGGCGTCCTGTTTGTCGGCCAGCACGAAGCTTATGGCTGCTCCGGTTACGCACATGATCACGACGTTGTACACGCTCATGCCTACGTATTTGCTGTCGTTTAACGCCGGGATACTGACGTGCCTCGTTTCCCATGCTAGGAAAGCGCCGAATATCTGAAACGCGCGAAATCGCGTTATCGTCACGTCGAATTTCATCGAAAAAGTTCGTGACTCCCGCTCGTCACGTTCCGAAGGAAATATCAGGGCGCGGATCGATTATTCCCCTACAGATTACGTACCATTAACAGTCCTTTGTACGCGTATATACACCCTAAATACACGGTCATTCGATTACTCTGACAGTATTCGTTTTCGGGTATAATGATGATGTCTTCGCTGGAGGGATGAGGCTGAAAAGAAGAGAAACGCGGGGGAGACGTTATTCGATCTAGTCTTTATTCGGTCGTTTCATACCGCAGAGAACGTACATAGGGTTCCATTTGCTTTGTTTCTCTATAAAATGGATCGGCGACTTGCCACGTGGTCATAATCCCCAGATCGATAACCAACAATACACCGACCACCATGAACAACTGATAGTCTTTTATGACCTATAATATAGTAGAGTAGATTAGTAGCAGAGTAGATATATGGACGACGATCGACTCACCTTTTTGTTGAGCTTAACGTCGGTGAAGATGGAATGTACTCGCCAGGTTTTCGAGAACATGGAACCAAAGGCCAACGAGAAACCAGCCATCAGTAGCCATGCTCTGGCGGTGCAAATGTAGGGAAATGCCGTTACGCTGGACAGCTGCGAATCTAACCCAAGGAAAATTACACTGCTGTAGGTCAGCATGCATCCGACGATAATGAGGTTGTTTAAATGCGGCGATGACATTTTTATGTATCTGAAACGTCGAAGATGACCGGACATGAGAAGAAAGACAGGAGAAATACACGGGTAAAAGGGAGACGCGATCGATCGTTTTATCCTTCGAAATTATTCGGAGCGCGATGTCCATCGTCGTCCGGTTACCGACGTAAAACGCAGAGCGTACAAGCGTGAGAACTGGAAATTCGAAGGAACCGTCTCTCGAATAGTCACCTTTGATTTCTATATTTAATATTGATGGCAAGAAAAATGGCCGCCATGACGATACCCACGCTAGCCGCCGACGCGAGCACCGCGTAGATGGTAATATTTACAGTCGAGTGCTCGATCATGTGAAGGGTTCGATCTTTCGGCGGTGATCTTCCTCTCCAGACCAGCGGCTCGCCTCTGCTCAGGTCCAAGATACCGGACACACCGTCGTACTCCCCTACCTTTACCTCGCTGTCACCTGCGATAACACGCGTGCAAATATTTCACGGCTACGAAACTCCTTTCGAGTACTCACTTTGAAACTGCTTCAGCAGGATGTACGCTTTCCGTTCGTTATCGTAGAAACGCACGGGACCCTGGAAACAGTATCTCAGTTCATCGCGTAATTTCTTTCGGCGGAATTAACGATTCGCTAATCGAATCTATCGATATTACCGACCGTCACACCCTCGAAGCTGGTGTTTCTGAGCGCTTCGAGGAAAAGCTTCTCCCACAGCGCATCCCTGTATCTGAAATCCGATATAGTCTGATTGCGACGGTAGTGCCTTATTCTGCGCGCCACGTGTTGTATGGCCAATGCGACCGCCCATATGCCGTCATACGTGTATCCGTGAAACCTCGAATATTCTGTGCCTCGTCTCGAATCGTATTCGACTCGATATTGATCCGGCGTCTGAAAAGCGACGATCGAGAGCGTTCAGAATACGAGAAGCTTCGATCGACGATTCCCTTTTGTTACTCACGATTCCAGCTACGGTGTACCGCTCCTCGGTCGTCAGCGGCAGCAAATCCGTCAAGATGGCCCCGTGCAGAGCCTCCGAGAGCTCCGCGGAGTCGCAGCCGCCTCCGGATCGAAGCCACCACTCCTCCGCGTACGTTCCCATGATCACCCACTGATACTTTCTCCCGAACATCCCGAATCTGTAAACCGCGGTCCAAAGATTCTGTGTTCCATCATCACTTACTGACATCGCATCGACTTACTTGTAGGCCTCGCAGAATATTCGTCTAGCCCAGACTTCGTTAAAATTGCCTAAAATTATCCTAACGTCCTTCTCCTTGAGCTTCTCGAGGGCCGTGGTGACCTCCGTGGCGAAACTCTGCGTCTCCACGACCTCCATCTTGTTGTCGTCCAAATCAGCGACCAGTCGATTGTGCGCCTATAAAAAAGCCTCGACGTGAACGACAGGTTGACAACAGGGTGTCGGAGGAATACTCACCAGGGCGTATCTCGGTTCGTTTTGATAAATCGTGCCGACTCTGGTCCAATTGAAGTGTATCAAAAGAGCTACGCGAGGAGCGTTGAAAGCGTTCTCGGAGGGTACCACCCTAAAGAAATTCGGGAAGCTGTTGCTGGTGAACATCGGGTGCGTGTCGGCGTAGCTGAGCTGCAACGGAAAACTCGAGTATTGGCAAGGTTCATTAATTGGCTTTCTGCCACTCACCTGCGTTAGACGCCAGTGCTTGGACGCTTTCGCGATGGGATCGGTGACGTGGGTGCAGGCTGCTCCGAACAGCATCACCTTGTGCGGTCCGCTGTGCATCATATCGAAGAACGCCTTCACTCCGACGGCAGTGTTGCACTGGAACAGAAGGTTTCTCTGTCTGTCGTGTTCGATAAAAAAAGAAGCGCAAAGTGCACGATTTTTGATTCCCACGCTGCCATTTGTCGCGACCTAGCCCATTTTTATTTACGCGGTAGCGCATACCGCATTTGCATGGTACGAGCGTGCCCGAGTATATTTTACGACGAGGCGCTCGAGGAAGCGGCTCGGTAACAAATCCCGCGTGTCAAAGCGATGTTTCCGTTTCTGAGGGATACTCGAAGACGAGCAAGCGCGTACGGTTGACAGCCGTTGGAAACGAGAACAGGAGTTAACGTTCGCTGGCGCTTATCGCTGCCTTTTCAATCGGTACGTATCGTGGAAACTTTTCCCGCGTACCGATCACCCACTGATACTTTCTCCCGAACATCCCGAATCTGTAAACCGCGGTCCAAAGATTCTGTGTTCCATCATCACTTACTGACATCGCATCGACTTACTTGTAGGCCTCGCAGAATATTCGTCTAGCCCAGACTTCGTTAAAATTGCCTAAAATTATCCTAACGTCCTTCTCCTTGAGCTTCTCGAGGGCCGTGGTGACCTCCGTGGCGAAACTCTGCGTCTCCACGACCTCCATCTTGTTGTCGTCCAAATCAGCGACCAGTCGATTGTGCGCCTATAAAAAAGCCTCGACGTGAACGACAGGTTGACAACAGGGTGTCGGAGGAATACTCACCAGGGCGTATCTCGGTTCGTTTTGATAAATCGTGCCGACTCTGGTCCAATTGAAGTGTATCAAAAGAGCTACGCGAGGAGCGTTGAAAGCGTTCTCGGAGGGTACCACCCTAAAGAAATTCGGGAAGCTGTTGCTGGTGAACATCGGGTGCGTGTCGGCGTAGCTGAGCTGCAACGGAAAACTCGAGTATTGGCAAGGTTCATTAATTGGCTTTCTGCCACTCACCTGCGTTAGACGCCAGTGCTTGGACGCTTTCGCGATGGGATCGGTGACGTGGGTGCAGGCTGCTCCGAACAGCATCACCTTGTGCGGTCCGCTGTGCATCATATCGAAGAACGCCTTCACTCCGACGGCAGTGTTGCACTGGAACAGAAGGTTTCTCTGTCTGTCGTGTTCGATAAAAAAAGAAGCGCAAAGTGCACGATTTTTGATTCCCACGCTGCCATTTGTCGCGACCTAGCCCATTTTTATTTACGCGGTAGCGCATACCGCATTTGCATGGTACGAGCGTGCCCGAGTATATTTTACGACGAGGCGCTCGAGGAAGCGGCTCGGTAACAAATCCCGCGTGTCAAAGCGATGTTTCCGTTTCTGAGGGATACTCGAAGACGAGCAAGCGCGTACGGTTGACAGCCGTTGGAAACGAGAACAGGAGTTAACGTTCGCTGGCGCTTATCGCTGCCTTTTCAATCGGTACGTATCGTGGAAACTTTTCCCGCGTACCACAAGGCGTTGAAAGATTAATCGTACGCTAAAAGTACCAATGTCAGAATGTAGGACACGTCTTATTTTCACAGGCGAAATGTCGCATCCTCGAATAGTCTACGGTCTATAATTACGAACGATTTCGATTCCGGAGGGAAAGAATTTTAGACTTCGAATTCCTCGTAAAGAATCCGCTTAAACGTTTCCCATTGTTCCTTGTACGTTTGCATAGGCTGTCTCACGATTACCCTTGGAACAATAGCTTCGTTCGAATCGTATTTGCCAAGTTAGTCGATAGATAAACGGAAGCGGAAGATACGGTGCGTGCACGTGACAGACGCACCAGTATATTGCATTTTGGATACCACAAACGGCATATCGAACTCTCGCCGATGTATGCGCGCAAGGGAAATTAGCAACTCCTCGTGGATCGGTGTACCGTGTACACTAGTGCACGGGTTGGCCCAGTGAACTCGTTTCGAAGCATTTAAGCTCGAGTCACCGTTATTAATTAAACGTTTACGCCCGTCGTTTACCATCCGTGCTCGATATATCGGCCTTTGCCATCTTGGCGTTAACTTCGTTAAAGATTCCATTATCTTTCGCTCGTAACTACCCATATTTATTAGTCGCAACGTTGCTTCAACTTTAATCGCGACACGGATGCTGTAAGACGATGAATATTTCGCGATGTTCCCACGAATTTCGGCTCGTAAAAATATCAAGCGAAACTTGTAGATCCGTAACGTCGATCGCTAAATCTGCCCGGTGTTATCTGCAGTCTCACACGCCACTGGACAAGAGGATTAAGAACCGAGTCTGTTCCATTATTTTCTTTTATCGCGATCGCTGCTATTAATTTCGTCAAAGAGCTACTTTCCGCGGACGAGCAAGTTCTTTCGAAATCGAAGCTTGACATCGTTGAACCTTTGGGTGCATTTCACGAGTGAGACTCGTCATCTGTTCACTTGGAAGTTACGGCCAAGTTATTCATCTGACTCGTCATTGAAATTTAAGCATTAGACTAGTTGGTTCTTGTTCTATGAAAATATTTCTATTTTGTTTTATTTATATACTTATTTATATTTCCTAAAATGCTGTCTTAAAAATATATTTATATCAGCAATGTAAATATATTCCAAATAAAATGTATTACTTTTACATATTAATCTATATAGTAACAAATTAAATCCGTCCCATGGGCATAAAAATCTTCAAACAATTTGAAACAAGCATTTTTAAACTGATTTTATAATATAATAATTAAAAAATGAATTATTATATTAACTATAATTTTCAAATTAATATAATGATTAGAAAATTTGAATTAATATAATAATTAGAAAATTACAATGACTGTTCGCTTTTTATTTTACCTCCTATACTGACTACGCATTGAGGTAAATATACAGGGTGTCTCACAATTAGTGTAGGTCCCTTAAATGGTAGCTGACGTGATTCTGAATAAGATTTCCCTTTGCAGAAACGGTGTGCGAAGCTTCGTTTTTGAATTATTAAGAAAAAATATGGAGCAAGATTATGCGCGCGCAGCCGCAAGAGCGGCAGCTTCGAACATGGCGGCTGCGCATGCGCAGTCCGCGTTTTTCCTGAATAATTTGAAAACGAAGCTTCAAACCTTATTTCTGCAAAGGGAAATCTTATTCAGAATCACGTGAGCTACGTGTTAATGGACGTTGGCAAAAATTGGGAATGCAATGGAGTTTCATACCTTAATAAATTGGTTCTATGTGAATATTTCTATTTTGTTTCATTTATATGTCGTAACTAAAGTGCTGTTTTAAAACTATATTTATATTCGGTTCTCAAAGAGTTAACGTTTAGGAAATTCTTCGTAGTTCATCAAATTAGAAGTAGGAAATCAATGCACGGCTTGTTTCGTCCTGAAAAGATACGTGTAAATAGGGTGGCGTAATTTTAGAAACGTCGAAAGGATAGTTACCGAAGAAACGATCCGTTTATCTCCGGAATTCGATCTAGAAATTGAAGCGACGTTCTCTATGCATTTAGTTGCGAAAGTTCCTCGAAACGGAAGCGACGAGTATAATATCTTGAATGTCTGTTTGCCGAGCGACGATCCGAGCGCAAAGGACCAATTCCAGACTCCTTCCGGAGACTCTTTCGAGCGGCAACGGGGTATGTTTGCGCGAAAACTTTCCCCGTCTTCGATTGCTCGAATTTCGCGAACATGACCCAAATATTTGTACGAACGCGCGTACATCTGGAGGAGCGGGTCCTTCGTATCGTGGATCTGGGAAAGCGGTAAATTTAGCGAAACCAGTGTCGCGTGCCAGCGTGCCGCAGCTATCCGATAATAATCGGAATGGTCGCTATTGCTTCGTCCGCGTTCGATCGGAAGTGACGACGAGTTCTCTTTTTCCTTTTAATCCCGATTCGATGCGTACGATTGTACAACGGATTCGGATAACGCGGGTTTAAGGAACGAATAAAAATGCAAATTCCGGTTGCCGGAAACCGTTTCGCGCGACAATGACAAAGTTTGCGGAAAGTTTTATCGGATCGTTCGCGAAGATAATTCCTCGGCGCGTGTTCGAAGGAACTTGGAACAGAAACTCGGACTGGCGTGCAACGTTCCAGGATGTTTCAAATGCCTCGTATCGTTCGGAGGATCCGCAACGCCGTCGATTCATCGCCGCCCGTCGCTATAATTTTACGTAACCGAATCTGCACGAATTCCAACACGAGCTAATTCGCGTATGCGTTTTCCAGGAAGATCGAGGTGCTTCAAAATGGCGGGAAATTCGAATCGCTTTGTCTGAGACTCGTAAAAGTTTTACGTGGGAAAAGTTGTGAAGTCCCAGAGCGAACTTTGATTCCGCAGAGAAATAGAGATAAACTCCATGGAAGCTAATTAACGAAATGGAAATCTGAAATCCGAGACCGTGCGTTGGCAACAAATTTTGCTTTTTCGTTATTACTCGTATCGAGCTCGTATCGTTTGTTCCGTGAAAGGTATTTTTCGGTTATTCTGTTGGATGGAAACTTGGATTCAATTACTTTGGGTTCTTTTTCCGTGCCGGCAACAGCGAGATAAAAGGTATCAGGAATTACAAAAGTTTCAGCAGAGAGGAATAAAAAGCAAGAAATTTGTCGTTTATTCGATTCAAAGGGAAACGAAGTAGCCGGACTCGTTTAGAGGGAAAGAACGCGTCGAAGTCGTTGAACGAAAGAATCCGCTTGGTCGAACACCGGAACGTCTGCCGAGCTTCGACGATTATTTACGGATCTCGAGGTATTCGCGATTAAAATAATTTTGCGTCCGGTGTCCGTTTTAATCGTCGACGAGTACCGATATCCGATATCTAACCGCAAACTTTTAATTAAAAGTGGAGCAACTTTATATCAGCTAATTGAAAACTACAATCTCTGAACGTCGAGGTAATTATTCCGGCTTCTCGAAACCGGACGAGTCTACTCGTCGACGTTGTTTTCGTCGAAAATGATTCGCGAAAGTACTCGATAACCAAAGAATTCGTCTAAGAGCAAACGAAACGCGGTTATACAATGAAAAATTTCGTTTGGAATCCCATTACGGTCTCGACGAAACTTGCTATCCTGGATTATTAACGAATTTGCGTGGGTTTTGACATTGTTCCGGTTATATCTACCGATAGGTCAAAGGTCGCGGGCAGGTGTGCGAGTATGCGCGCTCTGTGCTATGCATATTTAAATGCACCGTGATAAATTCGAGTAACTGCAATTTATTCTATAGCGCTTGGGATAAGAGTTTATGTTTTCAATTATCTCAGCAAGAACACTTATCGATTAGTGATACTATCTTTTATATAATTCAACTTCCTCGATGAGTAGGCAGAACGTTATCTTCAGATTATAAGGTTATGATTGCGATATTTGTTGTTTAGTTTCCTGTTTTGGATCATTGATAAAAATGGACGGAAATTAGTACTTCACGGAAAGCGATAGCGAAAGTAATTTCGTGTTGGATGCTGCGTGCGTGCGCGCGCAGGCCCGCGATATTTGAACGATGTTACAGAGAGAAGGAATGTTTTCGATATTAACGAAAGATTGGCAATAAAAATATTCAGTATAAGTACAATAATATAAGTAAATATTATTGTACATATATTTATTAATGAATGTAACAAATATTATTATACAAGTATATACATACAAGTATCAAATTATTATTTAATCTGTTGACACATAATTTTCTAGACAATCGCACAGCTGCTTAATGTACAATATTATAGAATATAAATTATTATAGAATTAGCTAAAAAATGTTTACTTCAAATTTTGTTGCAAAATGTTTACTTCAAATTTTGTTGCCAAATGTTTACTTCAATATTGTATTAAATAATGGGAAGTGAGAGTCAAAGAGTAAAAATGAAAATGAATTTTGCGACACAAAATTAACGAGCTTCCTCGAAAATATTTGTAGCTTTACAAAGTGGTTAAGGAATAGAAGGAAGGAAGGAAGGAAGGAAGGAAACAAGGGTTATAAGAAAAACGAGTAAAGTAGCCGGACAAGAGTTGGTCGGTTAAATAGCCGTTAGCTATTTCCAACTCATGGAACGGTTCTCTCTTCGCGTAAATTCTGAACGAGCCTCGACTTTTATTTTACTTCGTCCGAGGATTTCGTTCTATATCGCGCAAAA